TGAGCCTGGAACATGCATGCTGTGAGGCAACAGCGCTAACCACTGCTCCACCATGCTGCCCTGGTGTCTATAAAGAAATTATTATATGTTATATTCCAGACTATTTATGGGCCTGTAATGAAAATCTTTGGACTCTCTTGTCCTGTTTTGTCTCTCACTTTCTGCAGTGTACCTACAGTACCAGTATAAATTATTTGCATGAACGGGTGAAATCCTTTGCTGCAAAAACTTCAAAAGTTTGTCTGTGTCTTTCACCTTTCACTCTCTCATGTCACCCTCAACACAACAGTTATCAGTTCCCTTTTCTATTCATTCATCTATGATATCTGTTATGGAAATTAGTGGGACTTAGCTGGGTATGGTACTGGTTAAACCCCCCCACACACACCCATGCACGCGCTCATACAGTAGAGGTAATACAGTAAGCACTTGTACGCACAATTTTGATTACCATGCAACTAGACACTATACACACATGCACACAGAAGTTACGCTTGGACATCTACAATAATAGGCTATGATATTTGCCTGTAGTATGCAAACAAGACAAAGCACTACAAAGAATAATGTCAACATCTTTACAGCTGAATTTAAATCAGGGATTATTTAGCACACATTTATGAAATCACTTTTGTGTGGCGAGTCCAAATCCATGTCATCAGTGGGGTATTGTGTTTAAACCGAGGAGACATAACTTTAATACTTTTTGACAGGGTATTCAAAATAAAGGAGAATGTAGTACAGTTGCTGACAGGCCAAGACCACCCATCAATTTATAAGTTGGCAAGTTGCTTCATTTTGATTTAAATGCTGTATTTGTGTGTGTGATATCCCTTTAGCATCTGATTCACCTCGTCACACCCATGTTTATCCTGCTCATGCGCTTAAAGACCTCACCACCACCTAACACATCAGGCTGGTTGTCAGTTGGTGTTAAAGGAATAGTTTTGGATTTGTCAAGCTGGTGTTAAAACCGTATTGGTGTATCCCTGTGTATGTGAGTATAGGTCTTAGTTGTGGTCACTTCTACTCTCTGACCCTGAATATTTCCACCAAGCATGTGACTATGTTGCAAAAAATGAAGGACAAGCTACACAACTTTTGCTCTGTGCAAAAAATCGCTCCATAGTTTGTCTGAGGCGCAAATACAGCTCCAGCTGTCCTACTAAGCTAATTCGAGTTGGTATGCTTCAAAGTTACAATCTATTTAAGACAAATTTCCCTCTTTTATTTCCCAGGACAGTACCTTATCAACTATTCCTTTAATGTGTGAGAACATTTCGGTTGTTATGTTTTCGAGAGGGTCAGTGTCCAGCTTCCCTTTTCACTATTGTTGCGATGTACCCTGACCTCAATGCTGAAAGATGTGTGTATTCTTTGTGTCTGTGTGCCTGCATATCCAGTCATTCTGTGGTAAGCTGTAACCTCACCACTAAGGTTTCCTTCTCATGTCTCAGAGGCTCGTAGGTGGGGTGAATGTGTGTATTCTCTGATTACGTTGAGACCCTGATCCTCTATGTCAGTGGGGTGTGACATTTTGTCATGGGTTGGAATGTGAACAGACAAATGAAAAAGCAAAATTGTTTTTAACCTTTGACATCAGAAGTCTTGTATCAACATTCATTCGCATCACAGTGTGGGAGTGTTCTTTTGGGTTTAATATATGAGTTGTCCTGTACCCATTATGCACTTGACCTCTGTGAAGAGTTCGCTTTTTGGCTGAAACCTGATGAATGTATTTAAATCTATTGTATGGTACATATCTTATTTCAGTGTTTGTGAAACACATTTTAAATTATGCTAAACAGACAAATGAAGAACAAGCTTCAAATCCAAATGTCACTTGACTGGCCCATTGATATTATATCTAGTGCGTGTTTCCTTTTTATAAAATTGAAAATGCTTGATTGGTTTGCTTCTACCCAGAATCAACATACAGTGCCTTGCGAAAGTATTCGGCCCCCTTGAACTTTGCGACCTTTTGCCACATTTCAGGCTTCAAACATAAAGATATAAAACTGTAATTTTTTGTGAAGAATCAACAACAAGTGGGACACAATCATGAAGTGGAACGAAATTTATTGGATATTTCAAACTTTTTTAACAAATAAAAAACTAAAAAATTGGGCGTGCAAAATTATTCAGCCCCTTTACTTTCAGTGCAGCAAACTCTCTCCAGAAGTTCAGTGAGGATCTCTGAATGATCCAATGTTGACCTAAATGACTAATGATGATAAATAGAATCCACCTGTGTGTAATCAAGTCTCCGTATAAATGCACCTGCACTGTGATAGTCTCAGAGGTCTGTTTAAAGCGCAGAGAGCATCATGAAGAACAAGGAACACACCAGGCAGGTCCGAGATACTGTTGTGGAGAAGTTTAAAGCCGGATTTGGATACAAAAAGATTTCCCAAGCTTTAAACATCTCAAGGAGCACTGTGCAAGTGATAATATTGAAATGGAAGGAGTATCAGACCACTGCAAATCTACCAAGACCTGGCCGTCCCTCTAAACTTTCAGCTCATACAAGGAGAAGACTGATCAGAGATGCAGCCAAGAGGCCCATGATCACTCTGGATGAACTGCAGAGATCTACAGCTGAGGTGGGAGACTCTGTCCATAGGACAACAATCAGTCGTATACTGCACAAATCTGGCCTTTATGGAAGAGTGGCAAGAAGAAAGCCATTTCTTAAAGATATCCATAAAAAGTGTCGTTTAAAGTTTGCCACAAGCCACCTGGGAGACACACCAAACATGTGGAAGAAGGTGCTCTGGTCAGATGAAACCAAAATCGAACTTTTTGGCAACAATGCAAAACGTTATGTTTGGCGTAAAAGCAACACAGCTCATCACCCTGAACACACCATCCCCATTGTCAAACATGGTGGTGGCAGCATCGTGGTTTGGGCCTGCTTTTCTTCAGCAGGGGCAGGGAAGATGGTTAAAATTGATGGGAAGATGGATGGAGCCAAATACAGGACCATTCTGGAAGGAAACCTGATGGAGTCTGCAAAAGACCTGAGACTGGGACGGAGATTTGTCTTCCAACAAGACAATGATCCAAAACATAAAGCAAAATCTACAATGGAATGGTTCACAAATAAACATATCCAGGTGTTAGAATGGCCAAGTCAAAGTCCAGACCTGAATCCAATTGAGAATCTGTGGAAAGAACTGAAAACTGCTGTTCACAAATGCTCTCCATCCAACCTCACTGAGCTTGAGCTGTTTTGCAAGGAGGAATGGGCAAAAATTTCCGTCTCTCGATGTGCAAAACTGATAGAGACATACCCCAAGCGACTTACAGCTGTAATCGGAGCAAAAGGTGGCGCTACAAAGTATTAACTTAAGGGGGCTGAATAATTTTGCACGGCCAATTTTTCAGTTTTTTATTTGTTAAAAAAGTTTGACATATCCAATAAATTTCGTTCCACTTCATGATTGTGTCCCACTTGTTGTTGATTCTTCACAACAAATTACAGTTTTATATCTTTATGTTTGAAGCCTGAAATGTGGCAAAAGGTCGCAAAGTTCAAGGGGGCCGAATACTTTCGCAAGGCACTGTACTTTTTTAGTTTGATAGACTCATATTTTGTCTTGGTTGAAGCAAACAATCCATTCACAGCAAGAGCCCTGAGTGAGAAAGTTCATTCTTGACTTGAAGAAAAAAAAATCTCTAACTTAAGGTTCATTTATTAGGTTTCTGAGGAGCTTTCAGTCACGTCTAAGTTTTCATCAGCAGATGGAGTTTGCTCAGTTGTCATGTATGTGAATGGATAAAATCAAATAATACTAAAATTCACAAATGGGCTTTGAGTTAAGTCATTTTTGTTACATCTATGAAAACAGTTAAAACTTTATCAAAATCTAACTACTCAGTGTATTTTTTCTGCCTTCCCTTTTCTTGCCTTGGCATTTGAAGATGTGTGGCTTCTCACAACACAGTGAAAAAATATCTGGTTGGTTTCCACACAGCTTATCACATACAGCACTGTGCACATCACATAAAACATATCAAATGTCTTACGTTGAATGATACATTTAAATTAAACAATACATTGTTGTCATTTCATGCAAATATTCACAAGAATAGTTTATATCTGAAACTTGCTCATGAAACCTCGTGATAAATCATTTCATTTGGATTTGAAGCTTGTTCTTCATTTGTCTAATTTAATATAATTTAATATGTGTTTCACATCCAAGAGGCATCCAAGAGCTGGAGATCTCCGGCTCAACACCAGTCAGTCAGAACTGATGAAGCCTCTTGGATGAGAGATGAATGTCTTCGACCTAGAAATCTAGTCCAGTTGATTTTTTCTAAGTTTTTTCAGCTTACTATGACCTGGATGACGGAGAATCTGCACAGGCATATCTGGAGTCTTCACTATATACAGTAGCAAACATATGAAAATGCACTTTATGGAAAAGGCTCAAATTTGTTGTCAGCACAGCCTTAAAATGAAAAAAGAAACCTTTGCTTCTTCAAAGCTCTCTCTACACTGTGGGCCACTAGATAGACAGACAGACAGACAGACAGACAGACAGACGGATAGACAGATAGACAGATAGATAGATAGACACTAAATAAGCATAATCCATTTTACAAAATGATTTTGCCAGGTCCACCTACAGTAAACACCTGCCAATCACTGTATTTATACGTGATGGGTGTTTTGTCTCCTGTCCTTTACACAGTCTGTCATGATAGGGTCATACCTTTACATAGCCCATTCCTCTGTGCCATATTTATCAGGGATTTTTAGGGAATATTTGTGTAGCTTTAAATGACGATGGTATCCGATTTGAATCCACATCACCTGATGATCACTGGATGGTGCTTTTGGTCCCCGCTTCTTTTCCAGTAATTTTGCGTAAACCGCTTTGCGTAATCACCACGCAACTTCGTCAGGATACAACTATTTTATTTTGATGGGTGGGCACACGCTCTCTCTTCCTCTCTTTCTACCTCCTCACCCCCACCCCCACCCCCTTTCACTCTCCACTATAAAAGATCTCTGTGATGGACACCCCGTTACACCGCAGTTCCCTTTCACGCAGCGGAGATGAGCGCTCGGATAGCGAAATCCAACCCGGCCATGAAACTAATTGTGGTGAGTACCCAGAGTTTCTGCATCTCTTCTCATTGATTCTCCATGTGGTGAGCTGGCGCGCAGGGACACCTCTCACTGAAGAAATAACAAGACAAGTTATTTCTTTGGATGGACGCGGATTATTACGTTACACGCGGTTTCAGAGGAAGGTACACGGGCACTCGCCTTAGTCCTGATTTGACCACTGTACAGAGGAGTACAGAAAAAAGCGTAAACGTTCGCTCGTCCTGTTCTGTCGCTACAACGTGGGTCTGTGCAGGTAGTCTAATGATGTCTAACTTATTACAGGGACCAGTCTGTGCACCCCAGTCTTCGTATCCTCTGAAATGTTTTGGGTGGCGGTTGATACCAGGATCGGTCTGGTTTACTCCACTACTGGTTTTGAGAACAGAAATGATCCCTGTCGCATAATGACACGTGAGCCTTAATATAATACAGTGGTGGAAAGTAACTAAGTACATTTACTCAGGTACTGTGCTTAAATATAGTTTCGAGATATCTGTATTTGAGTATTTTCATACTCCGCTGCTTCATACTTTTAGGTTTTAGAGGCAGATATGTATTGTATTTTTACTCCACTACATATATTCTATAACTGTAATTACTAGTTACTTTTCAGAATCAAATAATACAAAAATACAGTAAGGTTATAAGACTTTATTGATTCCTGGTGGGAAATTCACAAACTACCCAGCAGTAATTCAAATTAAAAGCATATAAACCAGTTAAACTGAGCCTTGGCTTCACCTGAAGGGGGGAGCGTCGGACAATGGGAACAGCCACGATCTCTGCACCCCTCTCCGCCCGCTGCCCAGGAGCCACCAGAGTGCAGATGTACACAATAATGCATCAGTAAATATAATCCAATTATATGATATACATGAATGTGAACTGTGCCATTCTGCATAATAACACTTTTACTTTTAGTACATTAAGTATGTTTTGATGCTGATACTTTTAATTAAGTAACTTTTGAATACAAGACTTGTAACAGAGTATTTTAACACTTCTGTATTGCTACTTTTACTTAAGTAAAGGATCTGAGTACTTCTTCCACCACTGATAATCCATATTCAGACTGGCTCCCTCATACACTGTCTGTTTCAAACGGGGATGTGTGACCATTTAAAAGCTCATATATTAGATTAAGGTATTTGTATAGTATATTTTCATAGTTTTTTCGTTAGGTAAAGGGATTTCTGGCTCACTGGGGTAGCTTTTGAGCTGGCTGCCATAAATAATTATAATGTTGAGGGTGTGGACCAAATAGAAGGAGTCACAGACACAGGGTGCCCTTTCTATGCTGTGCTGAGCTGCTGTTTTATTGAACATACAGCTGGGGCAACAGCACCAACAGCAGAATGCACTGAACATGCTAACAATCCCCACCAACTATGTACCTCGCGCCCAGAGGGTCATTCTGGGGGACCCCACCAAGTGTCTCTCTACCCTAGTGCTACACAGCCCCCACCTGGCTGGTTAACTGTCCTCAGTAACCATGGTCATAACAAAGACCCTTAAGTGTTGGGGCAGCCTGCACTGCACTCTGGTGGCTCCTGGGCAGCTGGCGGAGAGGGGTACAGAGATCGTGGCTGTTCCCATTGTCCGACGCTCTCCCCTTCAGGTGAAGCCAAGGCTCAGTATGGTGCGAGTCTGCTCCTATGAAGCATGACCTGGTTCTGCTTGCTCAGTCTCAACCTGTATACTGCATCTGACAGTCTTTTCAGCACAGTACAGGGTTAGCTCCAAGCCCTTTACCTGCCGAGGGTGGTGCACCGTGCACCCACATCAGTGCACAGGGGACAAAGCTCTCTCCTGGGCTCCAAGCAACCTGTGCCTGGATCTGGCAAGGCACTGTGTCCATCGGTGCCCCCACCTGGTCCTGCTGCCAGTGATTATGCAAGCACTTGGTCAGCCCCCTCTGAGCTGCACAGGAGCCCCCACCTCTGCTGCAGGGGATGGGACCTGCATGGCTGCTGCCTGTCTTGTGGCAGTGTCCTGGTCCTTGGTGCACCAACCACACCGGTGCTTCTTCCTTCCATAGCTCCTCTTGTACAAGCCCTCACTGGCTTGCCTGGACATGGTGCACAGTGCCTGGGAAGTGGCGTAGGTGTGGACGAGCCTCTGGCTGGCCCTGGTGGTGTAGATGACCCTCATGCTGGCCACCCCAGCATCACAGTTGGGTGCAGCCCTTCCCTACCAGTAGCATGAAGAGCCACTGCATTCACACCCAGGCAGACCATAGCCCCATCACGTCAACCACTGCACCCACTCTACCAGCAGGTCAAGGCTAATGATGCATGGATCTTGAATGTTGGCCAGTCTGAACCCGTGCTAAACTGTGCGGCCAGCAACAGTCACTTTGAGCATCCTCTCTGCCCACATCTTTGCACTCCCAGCAGTGACTGTGGTGATGTGGTGCTTGGTGGTCCTCCACTTCTGGGGTCTTGGCCCTTCTGTCCCTGGCAATGTCCCCGGGCACACTACAGACATGTTGATCTCATGTCCACCAAGGCATGGCATTTGATGCCATTCAGCTCACAGTCTAGGTATAATCCGTGTGTCTGGCCCAAATAGCCAATCCACAGCTGCAACAGGTCGAAGGTAGATGAGCTGTTCGAGGGTGCTGGCCGTGTGCTAGTGCTGGGCAATGGCATACGATGTGCAGATGACGCCTCTTGACATCACTCAGCTGCTCTCCTGATTCCTTGTCATGGCAGTGCTGTAGCGGTGATCTGACAGGCTGCCTGCTCCTCCTTGCTGGTTCCCTCAGGGTCCATCTGGCATACAGGGTGGTTTAGCCTGGGGGAGCACAGCATGCACACAACTTGCCTTGGCCAGGGCTGTGGTCAGGGTGGATGGTGCATAGATGCAGATGTGCTCCTGGTGCCAATCCAGCTGGAGCCCTTAGATAAAATACTGGAGGGCAAATTCTTCCAGCACAGAGTGGTCAAATGTCAGGTACCCACACATGCATTATGGGGGATCCTGCAAGGTGCTTCTCCCCTCGAGCTTTCTGGGTGACCTTGGAAAGCGTCTCTCTGCCCCAGTGCTACAATATTTTTAATGACAATTCAAGTAAATTGTGTAATGTTAGGAAAAAGTTTGTTTGCCTTTGATAAATGGAACTCATGCTTTCCACAGTTTTTTTAAATAAATAGACCAACAAACAATAGATATGATTTTAATTAATGAGTGAACGTTTACGTTGCATCACGTTTCATTGCTTTTACTCAAGCATTTTTGAAAGGACAGAAACCTAACACTTTCACAATAAAGTCACATGGTGATGAGGCATTTAAATGTATGCCTCCAGGCTCAGAGCAGTTATTTTCTTTGGTGTGTTTTGTATGTTGTACTGTGATGGAGCTTTTGCAGGATTTGCATATGTTCAGATATTTATCAGGGCAGAACACTGTGACTACAAAACACTGGACCCACTATCTAGCCTCATGGGTTGCATGTATGTTTGCCTGTGTGTGTGTTCTTCTACTTGCTATAAATGATTTATTTATTTATTTTTGCTACAGACTGAGGACATTTTGGCTTCTCCTCACTTTCTGAAACACCTTTTTGAGGGTTAAGTCTTGGTTTTATGGTTAGGGCTGGAATTAGTTTTAGGGGAAGGGTTATGGTTAGGCATTCAGTTCTGATGGTTAAGGTTTGGGTAAGGGGATAGGGAATGCATTATGTCAATGAGTGTCTTCACAAAGATACAAGTACAAGTATGTGTTTGAGTGTGTGTCTGAGAGAGAGAGAGAGAGAGAGAGAGAGAGGATCGTATTTTGTGCTGTGCAGGGGCAATCAGTAATTCTGTTTGTGACATGCTGCATCAAGGCAGTAAATACAAACTAATGTGTGTGCACATGTACTTTAGTTCCCATTTAATGCGTAATGTGCTATCATCCATACAAAGTATTTCCTTTATCGTGGTGCAGGTTTCACACTACAGTTTACTTAAAATAGGCAATTATTTTGTTGCTACAATTTCTGATGTAGCGTTCTCTTATTTACTCAGTTAGTCAGCCAGTCATTCAGACATTAGTTCTGCCAGGCAAACATCTATTTAGCCGACTAGTGAGTCAGTCATCTAACCATTCATCAGCTGGCAACATCCAGCCAGTATGTCAGTCTGCAGCCTTCTAGATTCCCCATGCCTTTCTGCTTGTTTATTCACTCAACAAACTCGGCCACTTTGTACACTAAGTAATTGCTGTAGTTGTTAAAGGAACTCTGCAATTTTTTGATTTAGAGGTCCAGCAGAAAAAGTACCTCCTGCACCAGTGCATGCTTCTGACATGTGTGATTGCGTTTTGTCTCCTAAACACAGACTTTTCATTTGGCCTGAGAAGATGTGTGTGGAGCAGGCATCTAAACTGGACTCAGTGTTATCTGCCTGTTTTTTTTTTCTCATGTTTCTTGTGTGTTGGTGAAAAAGTGAATTTCTGGGGATCTTGTTTAGTACTTGTGTATTGGTTTTGATAGCCATTCAGACAGTTAATGAGCCTGCCAGTCATCCATCTGTCCTACTGTATAATCCAGTCACTAATCCATATGAAGCAACATACCCTATTCTATCTATTATTATCTGGGCTCCCTTTATCTTTACTCCTCCTCTCCTTCACTCTCTGCAATGTCCGTTGTAATCAGCCACCAACTTCCCTAAACCGAGCAGCAGGTTCTCACATGCAGACAGGAGAAAACACAGAGAGGGCCCTTGGCCAAACACAATCAAAGAGATTTCTTTCCTTCCCTTTTTTTTTTTTTTGTCAAACACTGTCAGTAGGGTGAGGAAGTGAGTGTCAGGGGAAGGAGACATCATACGAAGGGTGTGTAAAGGTCTAGGATCAACAGGTTTTAAACAAACAAGTACAAACGTTTATTCAGAAAGTAACGATTACCTCTGGAAGTTGCTTCCCCTCACCTAACTTCCCCTTTTCCATCAACAGTAGTACTGATAGCAGTGTGTGGCAGAGCGTGTGTGTTGTGATGAACTCATT